TCAGTGCCCCAAACAGTGATCTGACGTCTCTGACGTGATGTTTAGGTTTAGTGATAATACAGTGTACTGGTAGTGCCCCTCCCCCTTAGTGGTGTTTGCATTCCCATATGATGGTGTATGAGGTCAGATTGGCTGAGGTTGTTGTTAACTCTTGTACTTGAAATAGCTTTTAATAGTAGTTATAAATAATCTGATACCATGTTATAATATTACCAGGTACAATGTGTGAATGAGGAAATTGAAAAAGAAAAAAGAGAAATGTTGCAAAGTAAGAAGTCAACTAGTGGAAAAGGAGGTGGATCCTCTTCTAAATGGGATGATTGTGATCTACAGTTGTTAACAAAAGGTGTTAATTTATTTCCTGCTGGAACAGGATCAAGGTACAAATTGCTAAAATTGAAAATGAATAAATGTATTAATATTATTTTGATGACTCCTATTGACGTTGGTTTGACCAAACTTGTTTTCCAATCACCTTATGATCTTGAGACTCACATAGCAAACAAGTCGGCAACTTAGCTGGCAATGTTCTTGTTTTGGTGTTCAAAACATTATGGTGATGACAGTAATATACAATAATAATTTCAACGTTGCATGCTAATTTGCAAATTGATGCATGCATTTTCGTGCAATTGTATACAATATGATTCATATGTAAATAGTTAATATTCAAAAATTGTGATATACACAAAAAGATGAAAATGTTATGCAAAATACCAGTATATGTTCATTCCAATTTGATTCTAGGTACATGTGTAGTACCGTAAAATCTGTATTAGAAGCTGCATCCCTAATAGAAGTTGCACCCATTCTTTTTGAAAATTCATCATTTCTCGTATGTGTAGATGCTCTAATAGAGAAGCCGCATCTCCTCTGTTGCATTGTACCATTTTAATAAAAGCTGTGGCTTCTAATACATTTTTTACAGTAGTAGTAGTTAGTGACTAAATCAAATTAATTTGATAGTTTTATATTTTATTTGTTTATAGATGGGAAGTTATAGCTGGTTTTATAAATCAACATTCAACATCTGGAATGACACGAAATGCTAAAGATGTGATCAGTAAAGCTAAAAGTTTACAAAAACTGGGTAAGTATGTCACTTCTATCGGTGTCTGCTTTACACCATGATTGACCTCTGATTGATCTTTCTATATCTTTGTGATGTGTCAAAAGATGTGTCAATCATCAAAAATGTTCATGAAGAGCATAGTAACAAATCTCACAATCACTTCCATGGCAACATGTGTTTTTCTTTTTTTCCAATATTTGTCAATAAATAGCATAAGAATGTGAAAAAAGAAATTGCAGTGATGTTGATAAGTAATTGTACTTATTACGCTGTTTGAAGTGTGCATTTTATTTGTATTGTGTGTAAATAAACACAAAACTTTGCTTAGAAAATACAGTTGGAGGAGTGTAAAATCACAGCATATTAAAAATAATTTTAATTATTGATTACATATGTACCGGTGTACATCCCATGGCCACAATGAACATGATGCATTTTACTTTCATGAAAAATTCATTTACTTTTGTGTGACAAATTATTCTGAGCAAGTTGTGACATTTTGTAGCAGTGACAATTTCACAGCAACTTTCAAAATGTCTCCATGGATGATAAAAATGTTAAATCATAAAAATTACAGCACTGAAAATTCATTGATTTACAGTACATGTATTACAAACATAGGTATTTTTTTGAATATTTTACTTTCAGATCCATCTGTAAAAGATGCCGCTAACAAGAAAGCTTTTGATAAATTTGAGCAATCTAAAAATGTGAAAGGAGCTGCTGCTGCAGAGGCTGCTGCCCCATCAGAAAGATATGGTGGTAGGTTTCTACTGTTCCATGCCTAATACTTAAAAAGTGATGGTTGCCAAAAATCCGACAAACTTTACAAATGTAAAAAATCAATGATTTCAATGTTTTGGAACTTTCAATAAAATTTAAAAAATCATGAAAATTACCATTTTAATCATTTTTTCAGAGAATGGAAAACTAGCCGCTGCATCAGATGAAGTGAAGGTGGAAACTCCTAAACAGTGGTCGGCTGAGGAACAGAAATTATTGGAACAAGCACTGAAAACTTACCCAGCTAGTACAGCAGAGCGATGGGATAAAATATCAGCAGCTGTACCCACAAGGACAAGGAAGGAATGTATGAAAAGATACAAGGTAAATATGATGACATAGGTCAATAGTACAGTTTATATCAATATAATATGGCACCAATCAATAGTCCATGAATGTTGTATAGTTCAAAGTCAATAGTATATGACTATTACATGACTCCAGATTCTAGGTCAATACATTTTTTGGTTGCAAAGAATGCTGTCAGGTTTTTTTTATGAGTCTTAGAAAATATCTTGTGTGTTGCGAGTCTCCTGATTCTAATAGTTTTTTTTAGAACATTCTAATTTTTGTTATCACTGTAAAATCTGCTGAATACTTCCTCAATGATAAGTTCATCTTCCACAAATCCTAACTTCCTGTTGCTTCTTGCTGTCCTGCTGTTTGTTTTTTTTACTGAAATCAATGCCAATAAGACCGTACTTGCAACATCGTGAATCTCTTTCTTGTTGTGTCCAACATTTAACACTATTTCCTGAATACATTGGGTTGGCACTACCTAGCATTCTGATTGACCAGATCAAATGACTCAGTTTAAAGTCAATTCGTGCATGGTGGATATCATTTTGCATAGTGTTTGGGGGGTTAGAATACAAATGTACTTATGACACATTTCTGAAATCTTATTTGCACTAGATATTTTCTGTGACTCATAAATATATTGACAGTGTTTTATTTTTTGCTGCCAAAACATTACGCATGGGCAAGGTTTTGATGGATGGGTATGTATCAGACAAATAGGGTAATATATGATATTATTATACATCTGTCACCATAGCGCCATAATTTTGCTTTATTTTTTTTACGGGGTATTTTCATCCTACCATATTAGGAAATGTGAATTCCAAATATGGAATGAATTACGCGCATAAGCGTCCTCTAATAATAAAAACAAACATGGCTGCCACCAGAGTTTGACTGGACTCCACACAAAGAAGTTCGCTCATTCAGATCTAAACTTTTTAGATTTCGGCATTTCCATGATGTATCCTTGAAAGGAAAAGATGTATAATAATAAGGTTATTACGAGGATACCTCAAAGTATGCACTTGTACAGTACGCCGCACGTCAATACTACTGCTGTACTGTTTTCCAACCTCATACTATGTTGTACAGGTCAAAAGTAAATCAAATGGCATAAGTAAGATGTTATTCTTATATGCTGTGAACAAGGTCTCAATTGATTGTTTCTATTTTCTGTATTTTCTAGGATTTAGTTGAGATGGTGAAAGCCAAGAAGGCTGTACAAGCACAAGCTAGTAAAGGCAAGAAAATCTGAACAGTGTATCAACCAGTTGAATTCTACATGTGTGCTGTGTTGAATTTGCTAACATGAATAAAATATAACTCGATTTTAGTGTACATCAATTGCACTTGATCAGTCTGGTGGTTCCTAAGAATTGAGATTGCAGTGAAGGGAGCTTACTTCACCTTACTCTCAGTTTGGGACTTTATACAAATTATGCACTTAAAACAAGCAAACAATTGGCTGGTCTAGTATTAAATTTGGATACAAAAATGCATGAATGGCATATCTTGTTTAATTTCTTGGCCATATATCATGATTTTGCAAGAGTCATTTAATACATCTAATTTCATTTATCCAGGCTCATATACATACATGTAGATATAGCAGTCAACCATCTTTAATCCGATTGTGAGACTATTTTGTCATGGACATGTATAATTTAAAGAGAAAAAAACCTGTCAACAATGCATTTTGAAAAAACAAGATAGCTGCCAGTTGGTCATTTAGGATTTGAACACGGACATGTATGATTGTGTCAAATTTGAATAACAGACAAACCCTGTTCAAGATGGATGCCAGTCGGCCATCTTTCATCTGATCATGGAACAAACTGACATGAACAGTCCAATATGATTGAAAATTGTTCCTAGGCCTTGGACGTATAGTCAAAATGGCCATTTTTGATCTGATTGTAATCGAAAATGTACAAGATGCCCTATTTTCAAAAAACAAAATGGCTGCCAGTTGGCCATCTTTGATCCGGTTGCGAAACAAAACGTCAGTGCATGTAGACATTTTGGTAGTGGGCAAACTAATCCAGGATTTCCATCTTTGCAAGTATAGTAGTTGTTGGGAAGGAACTTAACCACTTTAAATAGTACACAATTTGAAAAACCTAGCATGGAGAATTTACCTTTCCTTGTGTTGATATTTTACAATGTTCACTGCTGTCAAGCGATCGATTAAAATAATTAGTGGCATTAGCTGTAATTTGAACATTTCCAATTTATAACGACTATTATCGAAATGTAGACACTGAATACCGTACGCGCCCAGGGGCCTCAACTCAGAAAATCACGTTTTTTTTGGGGGTGGGCGCTTACCCGACCATTCCCCCTCAAAAAAAGTGCAAATGAAAATTTTGATTTATTATGTGACAGATTACGTCTTTCAGGGGGAAAATCAGTTAGCTGCGTTGTCATTGATTTTTCACAATGAAGAAACAGAAATAATCACATTTTATTACAATATTAAAAACGTTAGTCTGTTGGAACACAGTCAACATCATTATCTCCACTGACGTGTTGGATCGTACGCAAACTCTCAATGAAAATTACTTTCCACCATGATGCATTTGCAGATTTGACCTGCAGCAGCGTTCTTTGACCTAATGGATCAAGTTGGTTATTAACCAATCAGAATGTGTTGTACCAACGCAATTCTTCGGAAATTCCCGAAGACTTTCCGGTAACGCAATGCGAAAGTGAATTATCGATGTTGAAGTACGATCTGTTGGAATTGATTTCAGCGAATAAACGACATGGTTTTTCCAAAAAACTAGTAACTAGCCGTTTTTGAGAGGTAAACTGAATATGGCATGAAATATTCACCGCATTTTACTTGTATTAACAGGTCATTGTCGAAGCGTAGTTTACGCACGATTACCGCGGTCGATATCCGCGCTATATCATATAAAAAACAGTTACCAAGATTCATTATGCAAGACCAAGTTTTAAATTAGTTGCATTTTGAAGGGGTGGGTGCTTTGCCGAATGTGACCCCAAATATAATCAAAGAAAACTTAGAAAGAACTCCCGTATGCTGAGAGAATTGAAGACACATTAAAAATTAATTCAAAATTACTTGTACTTGAGATATTGATGGAATAGCTGAAAACTAATTATGTAAATCAGGTAACTGATATGAACAGATTTGAGTGTAAAACTAAAAAGACCTGTGTAATGTAATATTTATGTACCAAGTTTCATTGAAATGTGATTAGAACAAAAAAACTATGAATTATTAATAGAGAATTAATATGAACAAATTTCAACCCAAAATCAATTGGGCATGTCTATTGTTCTAGAGCATGTTATGTACCAAATTTTATTCAAATGTGATGATCAGTAATTGAGATATCAGTGTTAATTATTTTAATTAGGTGATTAATAATCATAAATATTTACCAAAAACTAATTGGGTCTCTGCATAGTCCTAGGTTCATTGAAATGTGATGATGAATACTCTATGAAAGTTTCAATAAAATCCAATTAGTGGTTCTTTATATATATCAGTGGAACATTCATGGAAAAAATTAACTAATTATGCAAATTAGGTAATTAATATCCACAATTATTTACCTCTAAAACTAATAAGGTCTCTGCATAGTCCTAGAGGATCTATGTAGCAAGTCTCATTGAAATATGATGATCAGTACTTGAGTTATCAGACGAAAAGCTGAAAATTAACTAATTATGCTAATAGGGTGATTAATACGCACAAATATTTACCCCAAAACTAATCAGGTCTCTGCACAGTCTTCAAGTAAC